TATGGGACCCTTCAGTCCGCAGACTGACGTTCTATCCACTGAGTCATACCGGTTTCGGCTTTTTTCCTTTTTTTAAAATATATTTTTATTGATTTTTTTACAGAGAGGGCTAGAGAGTTAGAAACATCAATGAGAGAGAATCATCAATTAGCTGCCTCCTGCACACCCCCTACTGGAGATGTACCCTCACCAAGGTACATGCCCTTGACCGGAATCGAACCCAGGACCTTTCAGTCTGCAGGCCGACGCTCTATTCACTGAGCCAAACTGGTTTCAGCTAGAATTCATTTTCTTATATCAACAGAAAAACAAGGATTTCCAGACATTAATCGGTAACTTGGAAAGAAAAGGCTAAAGTGAACAGTATTAACTGAATACAGGATTCTCTAGGGAATAGAAAAACACTGAATGTTGTTCTTTTTTTTTTTTTTTTTTTAAGTTCTCAGATAATTTGGAAAAGACTGCTTCCACAATAAGAAACTATGAAAAAGAAAACAGTGCTCTTAGAAGCTAAAAATACTGCAGAAAAAAAATTTTTTAAATCAATATAAGCATTGGAAGTAAAGTCAGACCATCTCTCCTAAAATATAGACTAAATTGATTAAAAAAAAAAAAAAAAAACATGGAAAGTATACAGAAGGGAAAAAAGGCATAAGGGATTAGGTCAAGATCTGACTATTGGAAGTTCCTGGAACAGTTGAGTCTTTGGGTTGAAGTGTTCATCAAATGCCAGAAGTTGGGTGTGGGGAGAGAAAATCCCCCAAACCTACCCATGTTAGGTCATGGTAAAATTTCAGAACTATCGAAGAGTTTTTATTATTACTTCTGAGTGGATGAAAACAACATGGAAACCAGAGTCAAGACCCCACCCACCTACATGTGCATCGAAATCATGCGAGACCCAGCAGGTTTTGCTCTGGAATTACCAGACTGGGTGCCAGCTGTTCAGCTTCCAGAATGAGAAGGATTTACTCTGGAATACTAGTTACCCACACTAGTATTCTCTCCTGGCAGTTTCCTTTAATATCTAATAGCTGACCTTTCTGCCAGGGGGTAAATGCAGGGCTGCAGCAGGTTTGCTGACAGGCATTTGCGCTTGAGTGTGAGCGAGTCTGTGTGTGTGCGCACGTGGGCAGGCACAAAGGCATCTGGACTTCCTCTAGAGTTCCACTTAATCTGTAGCCCCTTCTAAACACTTCTATGTCTTAATACGTAGCCATCTGTGTTTCATTTTCTAAAAACAGTATAAAATTCTTTAATCTACTGGCGCTAACACCCTCCCACCTTGAGCTTCACCCCTTACTGTCATTTTAATCAGGAGGAAGGCGAGACAAATGCATGTGGTTAGTCAGTCACCATTTTGATCCATATTTTGACTGTATGAGGTTTACAGGTCCCAACTTGAAAATTTTTTTTTTTTACCCTAAATTTCATCAAAATATTAATACCTCAAGCACTAATCTCCTTCTTTTAGCCAATTTTCATTTGGAATTATATCTAAAAAATCTCAGAATTTTAATACTGATATCCCTCCAGTTTAAATTTTACTAAATATTTTACCTTCTTTCATGGAAAATATTCAAAATAATCCTCCTGTCTTCCTAGCATACATTCTTTACCATAAGAATGAAGAGGAATACTTAATGACGGTATTGTTTACTGCTGTCACTTTTTATAATACAGTGGAGCAATGGTATCTTTGACTAATTATGGCTTAATTGGACCCACTGAGCTTCCCAAGATGAGAGAACCTACTTTAGTTACCTAAATAAACACACTGAGCCTCAGGGTTTCGCCAGAGTGTCCTTATCTCATAGGCGCTAGCCGAGGCAGGTGCTAGGAATTTCATTACTCTGGGAAGAACTGAGTACATTTCAGACAAACTAGTGTTGCCACAGTGCAAATAAATCAGGCGTCCTTCAACATTCACCAAATCCTCACTGAATGTCTTTTGTGGGTGAGGTACTACTGGTCTAGGTATTAGGGGGAAAAAGAGACAAAAATCCCTGCCCTTATGATATATTCCACCGAGGGAAGACATCATAAACAAAACAGAATGCAGAATGCCTAAACAATCATTGCTGTGGAAAAAAAATAAAGCAGGGAAGGAGCATAATGAGTGCCAGGAAGGAGCTTCTGAAATTGTAGATGGAAGGACATGACCAAGTGAGCTGCATGGACATGTGGGGAAAGAGCACCCTGGGCAGGGAGGACAGAACAGGAGCAGGCTCTCAGGGAGGGTGTCTAGGTACAGGAGAAAACAGCAAGGCGGCCAGTGAGGCTAGCCCTGAGTGAATATGAGAAAGGCAGACTCAATGGGGTTTAAATCAAGCAGGGCCTCCTGCGCTATCCTAGTGACTTACTAGGAATGTGGCGAATGTCATTGAAGGGTTTGGATCAGAAAGCGATGTAACCCAACGTAAACAATCACACTTTGTCTAGTCTACTTCCTTTCCATTCCAGAGTTTCCCACTGCTTCATCTATGGACAATTCTTAACAATGGGAAGTTACGAACTAGAACAAGTTTTGAGTATAAACTTCATAAATCATAACAGCTTTTTAAAAAAAAATTCTCTGCAAGTGAGAATTTTTCTCTAGTATTCATTCATTTTTAATATTCTTGAAGGAAAAGCAATAAACAAGTCTGACTCACCCACGCTCAAAGCTAATAAAAGCAGAGCGTGGAAAAGAACAGTGAGTCATTTCTTTCTACGTGATTATGTTGTAGTTCAGGAGGTTCTCAAATACATAAAATGGAAGAAAACTTTCCATGTGTTACCTCCTTTTACCTTTAACCATATCAGGTACATATTTTGAGGATCAGAAAGATAAGGCTGATTTGCCTAAGGTCAAAGAACTAGTAAATGGTAACCAGAAATCAAACACAGGCCAGCAGATCCCAAGACCTGCTGCTACTGCCTATTTGACTCAACAGAAGGTTTGCAAAAATTATCAAGTATTGGGCTAGAGAGAATGGGCATTGACTTTTGCAGAATAGTACTGCAAATGAGAAAATATGTGCTCCTTAGTGGGTAATTTCTTTGAAAGAGAATAGATATTAGGTTGAAATTTATTTTTAACTAGATGCTCATTGCACGATATCCCAGCTGCCCAGGAGCCAGCAAGTTCCCACACCCCGGCCGCCCGGAAGCCGGCATGTCCCCGCTCCTACCGGGAGCCAACAAGTCCCCATTCCCGGCCACCCGGGAGCAGCAGGTCCTGGCTTCTGATTGGAGCACCACTCCAGTAGCTACCTCTGCTGCCTCCCTTTCCCCTATAGCAGGCTTCACACTGCTCTGCACCTGCATATGCAAATTAACCTCCATCTTCATTAATTTGCATACTCACTCTGATTGGCTGTGGGTGTAATTGAGTGATGGTTAATTTGAATGTTTTTCTTTTATTAAGATTAGTTACCTATGGAAATCATGAGCTTTTAATAGATACAAGTCTCAATGGGGAAAATGAATCACACATCACTTTTAACATTCTCCTCCCACTCATCTCCGAATTCTACTTGAATCTAACTCTTATTGTGGCTAAAGAATCTATCCCATATATTTTAAAGTGAGACTGTGTGAAAGGGATAAAAGTGTAGATGAAAGGGCCACATGCTGACCTGACAAGTTCAGGGGAGGCCTGCATGGCAGTCTTGCAAACTCAGAGACCTAAAGTAACCACAAAGGATGGCCTAAAATTAAACTTTAATTAAAAGCAGTTATGGTGGGCAGTTAAGTCCAAGGCTGGTATCTTCACTAACAAGGTCAACCTTTACCTTAACTGAGCTTGTCTGTCTTTTTGCATCTATGATAACATACCCTTGAAGTGTCTGGGTAACTTGTAACTTCTTTTTTTCTGGAGTCCCTGGGGCACAACCAAATGTGCTAGGCACCAGGACAGATATGTCCTGCACCCACCTAAGTATGTGTCCATCATTTTACTTTTTATCCAATCCCAGGAGTATTCCTACCCCCTACCACCTCCCGGTTTTGCTTTATCCCACCTCCTCAATCTATCACCAATGAATTTCATGTAACCCACATACATCCCTCTTTTGATTGCAATGTATAAAAACAAATGTAACCCACCATTCTCTGGAGCATTATCTCAATTCATTGAGGTTCTGCTTCCCAGCAGTTGTTGACAGTTTGGCTCAAATAAACTCACAAAAATTCTTTACAGATTTCAATCATTTTTTTTTTTTACATTAACAAAAGTGAGAAAAGGAACACAGAACGGCTACAGAAGATGAAAGAATCAAAACTGAGGTTTAAATACAGAAGGACAAAGTGAAAAACATGAATTCACTCTCTGTAAGGCTTCCTCTTAGACAAAGAATATAAAGGAATCAGCTGCTCAAGTAAACATGCACACTAAATTCTACTTAAAGTCAAGTAATTGGTTCCAAGTCCTAATGCTTAAAATTATTAGAGTATCCATTTGTTGTGAATTCCTATCTTATGCAAATTTGATAGTATAGTAATGTTGCACCTTCTCAGCTGTATTGGATAAAAAAAATGAGGTGGTCCTAGAAGAATTTTTACACATATTAATATATTCAGAGTTAAGAGATTTAGAGCCTGAGTATTAAGGCATGTTATAGAGGAAAAAGAAGACAACAAAAATAATAGTTGCTCATCATTATAGCTTCTAGCCATACAAAAGACCTTGCCAGAAGGAAGAGTGAGTCTTAAATTTTGATCAAAGGCTGAAAACAAATACTGAAAACAAGAACTCCAGAATGTCATAAAACGAGTCACTCTTTCATAAACATGTTATTTTCTAATTGGAGATTCCCCATTCCCTCCCCCCATCCCCAATTTTTTAGTACACATCACGTCCAATTCCATGTCGAGGTAACATCCAATGTGTTAACATCCAATTCCATGTCGAGGTAATGGCCATATGATTGAACTGGAGAATGTTATACAAAAGAATACACAATCTTTTGTAAAATTCCAGAATCACTCTTTAAACTTTCTGCTAAAGTATTTCCTACCTGAGGGGCATTTGTAGCCACCAGAAATGCATTTGTCCGCCCTGGGTGGTCGTAATCATGCATGGCAGCTGCCACATACAAAGCCATTAATTCCAACGCAGGAATGTTTGAAGACAGGCAGCCATAGCTCTCATCTGGAATTGAGCAGCTCCTCGAAGAAATGTAAGCAATCTGCCCAGGGTTAGTTCCATCATCAGATTCTGAGGAACAAGCAAAAGCAGCATAAGACATACAACCTTCTCATGAGGAGGCTGAGGGGCATCCCATAGGCAATATGATTATCTTATGTTTACTTACATGAGTTAGATTCTACGTAAAACAATAATAAGCCATCCTAACAAGGGTTAAAGGATCTCATTGTAGTTTTGATTTGTATTTCCCTAATAATTAATGATGTCAGTTTCTTTTTGTATACCTGATGCCATTTAGATGTCATCTTTAAAAGAATGTTTAATCAGATTTTTTGGGGGGTTTTATTGAGTTGTATGAGTTCTCCATTTATTTTTGGGCATTAACCCCTTATCCAGTGTGTAGTTTGAAGAAATTCTCCCTCATTTTTGTTTTCTTTGATGTACAGTTCTTTTTAGTTTGACTTAGTCCTACTTATTATTTATTTATTTATTTACTTATTTATTTATTTACTTACTTATTTTTTAGTATTCTGTCAACATTTATCCACTCCTTGGCCTCAGCACCACACAATCGCCAGTCCCCTGCCCCCAATCTCATTTCCACAGACAACTGGTCAACCTGACAACTCTGACCTGCCACTGGAGACTAAGTCTGGCCCGGCTATCTGGTCAAATGCAGTCACCAGGCAACCTTCCCCCGAGCTGGAGGTTTTTGGGAGTGCTGGTCGACAGGGCTCATCGGAAAAATGGGGAGGAGGGAGCTGACCCTAGCCCCGCTGGGAAAGGGACTTCGGCCACTGCTACCCACCCTCACTTCCCTGCCTTAGCCTGAGGCCCAAAGGCCCCTGGCGGGGTCAGGAGAGGCGATTCCACATGCACAGTTCCCCTCTTCCTTCCCTTGTACCCGCCAGGAGGGCGGCCGTCCCCCTGGGAAGGAGAGAGGACAGGAGCAGGACAAACCCTTGTGTCCAGGGCTGACTTTCAATCGATTGCAGCAAGGGAAAACTGCTCTGCTACGTACGATACCCTGACCCAGAAGCAGGTCCTCTATGAATGGTTTAGCACCAGGTTCCCTATGAACGTGTGTTCTGTGGAGGACAAGGGGGTGTCCCCCTTTCCTGATGCATCCCATTTCCCAGGACAAAAGTCCCTCCCCACAGGACTGATCCCCATGCAAAGCGGGCGTGCTGCCCACCGGCAGGGACAGCTGAGGCCAAACAAGGTTCCATTGATCCGCTTGGGCGGGATTCTGACTTAGAGGCGTTCATTCATAATCTCACAGATGGCAGCAGCTTCTCCCTATTGCCTCCTCAGCCAAGCACATACCAGATGTCTGAACCTGCAGTTCCTCTCATACTGAGCAGGATTACCATGGCAACGCATTGTCAGTAAGGTAAAACTAACCTGTCTCATGAGGCTTTAAACCCAGCTCATATGCCCTGTTACTGGGTGAACAATCTAACATTTGGTGAATTCTGCTTCATAATAATAGGAAGAGCCGACATCAAAGGATCAAAAAACGAAGATGCTATGAACACGTGGGAAGTGAGGGTGGGTGGCAGTGGCCGAAGCCCCTTTCCCAGGGGGGCCAGGGCCAGCTCCCTCCTTCCCATTTTGCTTCCTCATCTCTCCGAGTCAGTGAAAACGACCATCAGAGTAGTGGTATTTCACCAGCGGCCCCCCAATCCCACCCCCTCGCTTATTCTGCACCTCTCATGTCTCTTCACCAGGCCAGGCTAGAGTCAAGCTCAGCAGGGTCTTCTTTCCCCGCCGATTCCGCCAAGCCGGTTCCCTTGGCTGTGGTTCCGTTCCGCTGGACAGTAGGCAAGGACAATGGGACTCGTTCATCCATTCACTCCTGTCACTAATTAGATGACGGGGCGTTTGGCTTCCTTAAGAGTGTCAGTTACTCCCGCGTTTACTCGCACTTCAGTGAATTTCTTCACTTTGGCATTCAGAGCACTGGGCAGAAATCACACCCTGGCCCGTGCTTTAATTAAACAGTCGGAGTTCCCTGGCCCTCACCAGTTCTAAGTTGGCTGCTAGGCCGAGGTGAGGCAACCTGCCTAACCAAGGCGGGGTAAGGAGGGGGCGGCTGGGAGGCGAGAAGGGGACCCTTAACGTCACCCCAGGCTTTCCCCATGGCACCCGCCATAGGAAGGGCCTGGCCTGCGTTAAAGAGTTGGGGAAGCCAGGCCCTAGGGTGTCCAGGCCCCCACTACTCATTCCCTCTCCCCGCCCCCCCAGCCTCGTTCCCACCAAGGAGGGAAGAGTGACGTGGGGAGCCGCACATGGGGTCCGGGCTTTGGACAGGAAGGGCCGTGGGGGTGAGCCAGCGCCCAGCCCCGCTTCACGCCCCAGCGGGACCCACCGACTGAGCCCGGAGAGCCCATCCCTATCCCGAAGACGAATCCGGTTTCCCTTACCCACACTACTCCAGCATGCCAGAGGCTGTCCACCTTGGAGACCTGCTGCGGATACAGGTGTCCCCCCTACACTCAAGATTTACACCGTCTTCCTTGGATTTCCAAGGGCCACGAGAGCTCACCGGGTGCTTTCCGAGGCACGTCCCCTCTCGGGCGAACCCACGCCAGGGCCAGGCGCCCTGTCCTTCACAGAGAAAAGAGAACTCTCCCTGGGCTCCCGCCCGCTTCTCCGGGATCAGTTCCTTCTCCCGGCTCCCCCTGTTCCGTCACTCCGGATTCGGGGATCTGAACCGAACTCCCTTCTGATAGTCCAAGGGCAACGGAGGCCATCGCTGACCCTTCGGAACGGCGCTCGCCCATCTCTCAGGACCGAGGACCCATGTTCAACTGCTGTTCACATGGAAGGAACCCTTCTCCGCTTCCACCTGCAAAGTTCTCAGAGTATCTACTGCCACCACCAAGGTCTGAGCCTGCAGCGGCTTCTCTGCGCCGCGCCCTGGGCTTCCAGGCTCCCTGCACGGCCCTCTTACTCATCTCTGCATAGCTTGCTCGGGTGGGAGGGCGCCAGCTGTGTGTGTGTAAGGAGGCGGGGAGGGCAGGAACCCCTCTGACCAGGCTCCCATCCCCTTAGCCGGAAAATCGCTAGCCATCACTGCAGTGTTGGGCCCGCTGCTCCAGCGCCATCCACTTCCAGGGCTACTGAACTCGGCACGTGAGTTACACGCTTCTTAGCGGATTCCCACGGCCATGGCCATCATCCTGCTGTTTATATCAACCAACATCTTTTCTGGGGTCTGAGGAGCCCCGGCATCGGGTGCCTTAACCAGGCCTTCCATTCATCCCGCAGAGCCAGTTGTGCTTAAAGAGAGTGGTCCACTCGCATTCCATGCCTGGCTCCATGCAAATAATGGCAGTACTTCAGACTCAAGTACCAAAGAATGTAAAGCAATGACTGTCTACTATACTGATTAGTCTGGTAATATTTCTCAGACATTTGTTACTGAGCAAATTATGTCTATGTATGCATATGTCTATATATTATTGAAGTATTTCTTCCCTCTTCTTCCATTATTTTTTTAAGGATTTGAGAGGGACAGGGAGAGACAGAAACATCACTAAGAAACATCAGTTGCTTCCTGTATGACCCCTACTTGGTATCAAGATAAAAATCCAGGAATGTGCCTTGACCAAGAATTGAACCTGTGAACTGAACTCTTGATTCGTGGGTCAATACTCAACCACTGAGTAACGACGGCCAGGCTCTCCATTCTTTTTCTTTTTCTTTTTTTTTTCTTTTTTTTTTTTTTTTTTTAGAGATCCAAAGCATATCTCCACTCTTTTATGAGCTGGAATAAGAGAACCATGAATGTTATAATTCATTATATTTGCATAAATAATTATACTATGATGAGGAACAGAACTAACTTCTTTGGGAGCAAAATTTGAAAAGGTTTTGTAATTCATTTAGATTATATGTGAGGCTTTCAAATAATGGGAATATTTACATGACATATCTAAAAAAAAGAAACAGAAACAAGAATTAAAAGAAAGCAAGGAAATGATTATCATCCTATATAATAAAATATGCTAAGTGTCCAACTGTTCATTTGACCAATCACTATGACTTGTACTAACCACCAAGGGGAAGACGCTCTGTCTGGTAGGTTAGCTTGCTACTGGGGTCCAGCGGATTGCAATTGGGCAAAACGATCCAGGCCGGCCCTGGAGCCCTCCTGTGCACTGGTGAGGTCTCTCGCAATCCGGGACCCCTCAGGGGACATCAGAGAGCTATTTTTGGCCTGATCCCATAGGCCAGGACTTGGGACCTCAACAGTGCACAAATCCATGCACAGGGCCTCTAGTAATATAATATTCAGGATAGTAGTTATCTCAATGGTGTATCAGCAGGATGGGACACAGAAGAGACTTGGTAGACTCAGTGGTACTGGATCTTAACTTAGCCCTTAAGATGAGTGGTAGGTTTCCTAATTTGCATGTCATTATTATACATAAAAACTTACATGGTCCTTTGTATAAAAGGTTAGTTACTGAAAAATGTGAAAGGTAATGAAAATAGGTAGCTTGATTAATTTTATTACTTAAAAGGAAGATCTGCAGAAAGAAATACCTGTTGTGTTTCCTGTTCCATGATCACCGTGGATTTGCTGTAAGCCAGGAATTGGCCTTGTTGTCAGAAACCAAACTGCATGTAGGACATCAGTGGCGTGTATACGATTGTGATCTAAAGTCACCAAAATGATTTTTAAAATTGATTATTCTATTACATTTATCATAAGACATTTTAAAAGTATAATTTCTAGTTATCCCCATATATAAAATATATGGCTTAGAATGATTTCCCGCAATTACATTTTTGTTTCATCTTATTTTAAAAAGCCTCAACTCACACTTTGAAACATAATAAAGAGGTCATAGGAAAAGAAAGGTAACCAGGGCTAATTTAAAGGCATAGAAAAATATATTTAAGGTTGTAGTTTTTTGTTTTTTGTCTTTTTTTAAATTGTAAACAATGTTTAGATTATGGAGACCTATTTTTTGCACACGGGTGCATAGAACAGTTAAAATTCTGGATACTTGAATATTCCTTGATCCACCTATAACTTTTATGTTCAGTTCATTATTCATAATTTATTGAGGGGCATATAAATTCATAACTTTTTTATGGGTGAATCAAGGAATGTTCAAGTATCCAGAATTTTAACTGTTTTATGCATCTGTATGCAAAAATACAAACAAAAATATTTCACAAAAATATAAAACAAAATAAGTATGATACTTATTTCTCAGCTCTTCTATAAGGATTAAATGTTAAATGGTATATGAACACATTGAGAAGAATGTCAGACACAGCACATGATCAAGAAAAACATTTGTTTACTGAAATACTACTTTGTGAGGTCTATACGTAAAACCCAGCTTTGCTATTTATAATTTTATAATCTTGGGAAAGATCCTTCTGAGTTTTTAACTTCACCTGTGAATGGCAAATAATACAACCTTTCCTAGAAAGATTAAATAAGATAACCTTTGTTAATCTAATGATTATAGGCATAACTGAAATTGAATAAAAAAAAAAATCAACATTTTAACCAGTATTTAATATGTATTTATGTAGAACTGGCAGATGATACAATACTAAGTGTTAAAGTTTCAGAGCATGATTCAATAAACTAGGAGCTTATCCTACATAATAAAAGTCTAGGTGGTGTCATACCCTCATGTGACATCATCACAAGATGGCCACCACAAGATGGCTGTCAGTGGAGAGTAGTTGGAGACTATCAGGCCGGCAAGGAAGGGCAGGGCAGTTGCGGGCATCAGGCTGGCAGGGGAGAGCAATTGGGGCAATCAGGCTGGCAGGGGAGCAGTTAAATATCAACCAGGCCAGCAGGGGAGAGGTTAGAGGCAATCAGGCAGGCATGCAGGTGAGCAGTTAGGAGCCAGCAGTCCTGGATTGTGAGAGCGATATCTGGCTGCTGGTTTAGGCCTGATCCCTTTGTGATCAGATCTAAACTGGCAGTTGGACATCCCCCAAGGTGTCCCAGATTGGAGAGGGTGCAGGCCGGGCTGAGGGACACCCCCCCTCCCATATGCACGAATTCCGTGCACTGGGCCTCTAGTCATAATCACTTGTTATTGACCATTTACTATGTTCCATGAATTCTGATGTGTGCTTTATTTATATAGATTATCTTCACTACCTATGGAGTAAATACTATTATTCCCATTTACAAACTTGAAAACTGAAATTTAGAAAAGTTAGATCCAGAAACTTTTCTTTTTTTTTTTTTTTTTTAGTAATAGGTAATAGATTTGTTTCTGTTTTTAAATATATTTTTTATTATTGCTATTATAGATATCTCCCATTTCCCTACCTTTCACCGTCTTCTCTCATACCTACCCATCCAAGTCTTCACCATCCTATTGCCTATGTCCATATTAGGCACTCAAATATTAACAAAGATGTATATCATGTAGTAAGTGAAAGCAGACTATAAATAGGTATTGATATGATTTACTTTATAAAAAATAAACATATAAGAAAAAAGTCTTAAAGTATATCAAAATGTTAACAGTAGTCAGTTAACTTTAAATAATAGGATACAGATTTTCTTTTTAAATGTCTATTTAAAACTTTCCCAAACATGTAATTTAAAAGTGTTTAGTGACTATCTGAAGGGAAAAATAATAAAGGGTTTAAAAACCACTATTATTTGAACTTAAATAATAAAACATGCTAATACTTACAAGGAATGTCTCGATAGCCATTTTCTAATGCACGAAAATAGTTCATGAATTGTAGAGTGGGAATGTTAAATATTTCCAATAAACCAGTGTCTTGAAATAAGGTATACATAACCTAAATATCAATTAAAATAAATCAGAATTTCTATTTGTAATTGAGTATATGTTTTTGTGATTTGCATTTAGGAATATTAAGTTAATAATTTTAAAAAAATTCTCCTACAATGAGATCTTTAGAAAACATGAAAAAGGGAGTCATTACCCGAAAGCCCATGAAAACCAAAGAAAGATTACCATGTCATATTCTAGTTTAAAATTTTCCCATTATTCATAATTTATTGAAGGGCATATGAATTCTATTCTAGCCCTAGATGTTAAAAGAAGTCATGTTTTTATCTCTAAAGACTTAAATGAGATGAACTTATATACCTTCCACATAATTTATTCTGTTCTTATGTTTCATAAATAAGATATTTTGTTGTTAATGAGGGTGATATTTTTAGAAGGTTAATCTGATACTATTGTATGAACCCATCAGGGATAACCTCAAATTGCAAAGAAGCATAATGGTTAGCACTTAATCATTAATCACCATTTTCCTTTTTCAACCTTTAGATTCAATATAAAGTAAAACTTTTATTATTTTAGTTAAAATTAAATCCCATTATTACAAATACTTTTCACTTACATATATGTTTTCAAATTTTCTACTGGAAACTTCATTTGTGAAAATAATAATTCAATAAAAAATGTTGAATTTCTGCATAAACCAACACTATACATTTTTAGATTCTGCTTTTTATTTATAATTCATAATAAAAAAGTAGTGGGGAATTTTAAACCAACCTGACTGAGGATTCTTCCTGAATTCTCTCCCATTTTTTCTACAAGTTCAAAAATTTGAAAATTCCAGTTGTTCATCTTTTCTATTAATGAATCATAATCTTCTATTAAAATTGGGTCCAGTGATGCTTCCTGTTCAGTCTGTACATATGAGGGCGGGGAGAGATCCAAACCAATATTTCTTTTATAAATATTGTTAAATCCATATCTAAATTCGAACACTTAAAATTGAGCATTAAAAAGTGGTCAGTTCTGTTTTCTACAACTGTTTTTCTCAAATACGATCTGTACTTCCTACTTCCTCTCTTTATAGAATGCTATCTTTACATAAATATAAACATGTCTTCTATACATCAGGAAATTTCTTACTCTTCACTTTTATAAATAAAAATATTTCTGAAACACTAAAGAAATCTTAATTCCATTTTCATTTTAAAATTTAGAGGTATCAAGAACAATAGAAACTTATATACTTATAGTGGCATTTATTAACTTCCCAAGAACAATGGGTGAGTTTTTACCTAAAAAGCTTAAATTATGAACTTTCAGAACAAAAAAGTGTTATTTTAAATAAATAGATTATTTCATTGTTTTTAATGACTATACACGTTTCCCGGATCTTAACATATATAATAATTAAAAAATCCACATGGGAAGTAATATATCTACTATAAAACTAAATAAAATGAGTTCATTGTAAAATGAATGCACTTGGTTGTTCTGAGATGAGTTTAGAAGTAGTTATTTTTTTAACCAAGGTTTTCTTTAATGTGATAGAGTGACTCTCAGTAAAAAATTTCCAATTGTATATTGTACGACTATAGAAATACACATTTTGATAATTCCATAAAAAGTGTCTTTAGTGCTACATAGTATAACAGTCCCCCACTTATGCATGGGGGATGTGGTCCAAGACCTGGCGGATTCCTGAAACATGAATAGTGCTAAATCTTGTGTATTCTGTTAATTTCCTACATAAACACTTGTAACGATTTGATAAATGGGAGATATCAATAATGGGACTACACTACTATGCTGTAATAAAAATGTGAACGTGGTCTTAAAATATATTCAGCAGTTCTGCTGAGATGGAAAAAAAAATTTTCAAAGTATCATAATATTAAAAACATTGTTCTGAGCAAAAATAACAAAACTAAACTATGCACTAATATTTTCACCTTAACATAATTATAAGTTTTACATTTGGTTGCTGTTCATCCTGTGCCTCTTCTGTTAGGTGATTATCACCTTCCAAAATTAATTTTCTGCCGTCTCCGTTCTCTGTTTCCACTTCTTGTTGAGCTTCTGTAAGGTTGAGTGATTCTTTTGAGAAATTGGTGTTGTCTTCATCACCTTTCAAAAAAATCATATATAAAAATAAAACTTCCCCTTCATGGGCAGTTTTGTCAGAAAAATTATTTGAAAAAATAGAGGGAACCATTATGGCATTAAATCTAAATGAATGACATTAAAACATTAATTCCCATTAATCCTATCTTGCTGGACTATTTGGCCCATGCATCTTGTGCTTGTGCAATACAAACATTCACCTGATATATCTACTCATGGATGAAAGAGATGAGTGGATATTCTTTATAAAAGTGAGAACAAAAATAAGTCCCCAAATCATTTTTTACAAATTTGATGTAAACAATTTCTAACGTCTGAAATTGTTTGAATTTTAGACCTGAAAATAAGATTAAAGCACATCTAAAAACCAAAGCATATATTAAATGTAAACTGTAATTGAAAATTAAGAGGAAAAGAAAATCTGCCACTGAAGCAGATTTAAAGAAGTTATAAAAGAACATAAATGTGTAGGTAAAAAAAATTAAAACAGTATCATAAGTGTGACTTATTTCTTTACAATGTGATTAAAAATACCCTTTTCTCAAATCACATGGAAAAGAGCAGCAGCATTGTTAACTAAATAGTTTATTCATCCACATGTATAAAAATATTCCTATCTCTTCTATTTGTAATAACCTGAACATAAAGCTTCCAAAACTCATCAACAGTAGAATACATAAACTGATGTACGCAGACAACTGCACATTACAAAGAAAAAGAACTACAATCACACGCAACAATATGTATGATTCTTAAAAATATGTTGAACTCTGGCAGTTGTTGCCCAATGGTTAGAGAGTGTTGGCCTATGCCCTGAAAAGTCTTGGGTTTGATTCCTGGTCAAGATATCTGGGTTGCAGATTTGATCCCTGGCCCCGGCTGGAGCACATGTGGGAGGAAACCAAATGCTGTTATTATTATTTTGAGTGTTTTTATCATGAAATAGTGCTGTTTGATTTTGTCATCCTTTTTATGCATCTATTAAGATTATCGTGTGTTTTTTTTTCCTCTTCATTTGTTTATTTTTAATATATTTTATTAATTTCTTGAGAGGAAGGGAGAGGGAGCTAGAAACATCGATGAGAGAGAAACACCGACCAGCTGCCTCCTGCACATCCCTTCTGGAGATGTGCCCTTGACTGGAATCGAATCTGGGACCTTTCAGTCCACAGGCTGACGCTCTATCCACTGAGCCAAACTGGTTTTGGCTCTCTATTTTTTTTAATGTGGTATATTATATTAATTGATTTCAAATGTTAAACTGCCCTTGCATTTCTGGGATGAATACATCTTCGTCATGATGTGACGGTTTTATATGTTGTTGGACTCAGTTTGCTAGTATTATGTTAAGGATTTTTGTGTTTATATATATAAGACATACTGGTCTGTAGTTTTCTTGTGATACCTGTGGTTATGGCATCAGGGTACTATCAGTCTTACAGAATGAGTGGGAAGTTTGCTCTTCTATTTTTTGGAAAAAGTTTTTTGTTGTTGTTTTTTAACAGCACTTTAAAACGTAAGAGTCAAAACTACTGAATTGCACACTTTAAAATGAAGAACTATGTAAAGAGATTCCTAGGAGCCTACAATCCCTGAAAGGACCTACCAATTTCCTACTTTTATATTCCTAGGGTGACGCTACCAAAAGGATTTTCCTTTTACCAGTCCCTGGCCCTCTGGCAAACACCCTTCTGGTAGCCCCAAACTCCAGATTCACCCTTTTGGACTTTGATCCTCCTCCAGATCTAGTGGTATTTCTGAAGAGCTTCAAGCAGATTTATTCTGTTAATAATTTATACAGTGTTTCTACCTACTTTCAGGGGGAATGTTTGTGCAAGTTAACTACCTATTATTAGAAGCTTGATCATCAATTGTTTAATGTTATAAAACTACTATAATTTTATCACTATAGGTATTTTTTGTTTGACCATAAAAATATTTCAGAATGATATGATTAAATTTTAAAGTCCTTTCTGTGCCATAAAAACCTTTTGGCCTTACATTGTGCAGTATAAATTTCAACATTATTATACTTTATTTCGCTATTTATGAGCAAAATACATCATCTAAGATAATATTCATTTGTACAGCCATTTTTACTCTTCAAAATACTTCCACCACCTATTATTTATACTTTGTTCTTAATAACTCCTCTCTGAAGTAGATAAAACACCATAATGTTCATTTTAAAGGTGGATAAACTGAAATTAAACCCATTCATTTATTCATCTTAAAAAGTAATGTAAAAATTGCTCATAAAGTTAAACACTCACCTAATTTCCCATTCCAGCAGTCTGTACCAGACTCTGATTCAGATGTTGAAACATATTTCAGTATTTGATGTCCACAGCTTATAGAATAAAATATAAATATACATGCATATATAAACATGTATATATAAAAATGAGAGAAAATTTTAAAATCTAAGTATAATTAGAAAATCTGCTCTATTTTTAACCAAGGTCCCAAATGCAACACACTCTAATAATACAACCTCTATAAATTTAAAAGGATTTATCCTAGAAGGCATCTGTGTGACCCTGAAGAAAGTAACATATTTTGAAAGTCAACATTGATGTCTGAAGTAAACAGTATCTAAGCAGAAATGAGAATGAACACCCTATGAACTGGGTATTATAAACAGGCACTAAAATAGTGTATACGAAATAATTCTCTTACACTTACTAATAATTGGATGAATAGAATCCAATTATATTTCACTTCAGATGGGGGTCATTTCATTGGAAAATGAATACCACTGAAATGAGTTTTATTTAGAATATATTCTACTAGATAAATAAGGAAGAGAATACAGTCTTAATTCATCACCTAGTTATTACATAGAACTAGAATATTAGTTACATTTTAAATAATCTACATTGTAAAACAAACAAACATTTGGGAAACTTACCTGTTACATACATTGCTATCAGAATTTCTAAGTTGATAAGAATCTGGTGAAGTGGGAACATTGCCCAGGGATCTGTGTAAAGTAACACTTGGCTTAGTAAGAAAATCAGCAGTATCAGGAAATTCTATAGGTGATCGACTGGTTAGAGAGCCAGGAGACAGTGGTGGTCCATGGCCAGGAGAATTCACAGGACTCAGGCTGGGTAAAACACCTTGGAAAGTTAAAAGGAGGAAAGAGATAGGTAAGTACTCATGCTTTTGTGTATGATGTTTATTTTGTTTACATTTATGTACTTATAAAGAGTATTTTCTTTCTTTAATGAGAACAACGTATTCACAATTAAATGATAAAATAGACTTGTAGATGGAGCTCTATCTTCAAGACATCCTAGAAATTTATGCATCATATTGGTCATTGTCAGTGACCCTATGGCAGGATAGCATATTTCAGGTGAATTAGATGAGCAGAGTATTTTTTTTTTTTTTACCACATTTTATTGAATATTTTTCAGTATAATAAAATTCAATTTTATTTTAAAAAATCCAATTTCTTAATAGCATTAAGTAAGTTGAGCATATAATAAAAATTACATGTTAACACAACAGCATATACCTCTTAAAATATGCAAATCTACCCAGCTTATTTTATTTATTCAACAAATACTTGAGAGCCTAGTACATGCTGGAAAATGTGCTGGATTTCACAATGGAGCAAAAGGTGCCATCTCTGTAATTCAACGAACCTAGAGTTCAGTGGCACGTATGAACAAGAGCTATGTGCTAACTAAGGGAAAGAAGCGCTTCAGAAATGTGCTGAGTGCTTTGAACTAAGGCAGAATGGGTATATCTGGAAAGAAGGCAGACTTAAAATTTTACTTGGAAATAAAGATCCAAGTAAAATATGAATCAGAGAGGAAAGAAATAACAGTTACTAAGGACCTATATTTTTAGGCACAAAGGTAAACACTTAAGAAACTGTGTGAGATGGTAATTTTATGTGCTAACGTGGCTAAGCTATGGTGCCCAGCTGTTTTGGTCAAAAAGCAGTCTAGATGTTGCTGTGAAGTATTTTCCTGATGTGGTTAATATTTAAATTAGTAGTCTGGGTAGGGCAGATTATCCTTCATAACGTGGGTTAGCCTCATTCAGTTAGTTGAAGGCCTTAAGAGAAAAGGCTGAGGTCTTCACAAAAGGAAGGAATTTTGCCTCTGGAGTGCCTTGTTTTTTTTGCTGTTGTTTTTAATCCTCACTCAAGGATATTTTTCCATTGATTTTTAGAGAGTGGAAGAGAAAAGAGATAGAAACTCATCAATTGGTAGCCTCCTGCAAACAGCCCCACCAGAGCCCGGGCCTTGGAGTAGCCTGCATGCAACTGAGGTATATGTCCTTGACCTGAATTGAACCCGGGACTATTCGGTCCATAGGCTGATGCTCAATCTACTGAGCCAAACTGGCTAGGGTCAGACTGCCTTTGGAAGCTGGTAGAATTTCCATGCTGGCAGCCTGTACTAAAACTTCAGATTTTATAGCCCTCACAATCTCAGAAGAACAATGCCTTAATATAAATCCATCTTGCACCTATTTCCTCTCTCCATACATGAATACATTCACAAATATATATTATGTATGTTCACACACACAAAAGCATCCTAATAGTTCTGTTTCTCTAGAAAACCCTGACAGATACAATGTAATTTTATTTACTCTTCACAATAACAATGTAAGTTAAGTAGCATCTTCATTTTAGATGTGAAAAAAAAAAAATACAACCAAAAAAAAAGTGTTTCTAAGGAACTTAATTTAGTTAGCAGTTAACACTGTAAGGAAAAACACACTCTAAAAAGGGCTGTCACTGCTGTTCTATAAGATTATTTTATTGAGAGGATCCTATAAATTTTATATGACATTATGGCTGAATGGGATTTTATAAATATTCTGGTCAAATAGTTTAATGTTTCAGAAGAAGAAACTAAAGACTAGAGAGGGAAAGGGCCTTGCTTGTCAAAGTCATAATGGTTAGTTACTAACTGAATAAAAAAGCTCACATTTTCAGCATTCTTTTCTCTAATTATACCAGCAAGTGTTAAAAAAAAAAAAAAAAAGTCCAAACAAATAAGCGAGAAGACTAATGGATAAATAATCTTAGACTAAGCTTCAAGGAGAAGGGAAAATGGTAGAGGAAAACCTAGCAATCCTTCAGAAAGATTTCCTACAATTTAGATCCATCATTTTTATTTCACACATTATATATTATGAAATACAATGTGTACACAGAAAAGTTTCAACAGAAATGCTTATCATCCAAGTTAAGACATAAAACACAGCTCTAGATCAGAAACCCTTCCTAAAACCATCCTCCCTCTCATTAAAGGAAATCATTATTTTGACTTTTTAGTACGTTTTCCTTGCCTTTATATTTATACCATGTGTGTATACATCTTTTAACAATTTAGATGAGTTCTGCCCCCTCCTTTTTTTATTTTTGTAAATCATAGCAGACAGTATATATAAATGCTTCTATAACTTGCTTATTTGACATTTTAAAAAGATATTTCCATGCAGCAGCATGTGACTGCAGTTCATTCGTTTTCGATGCTATACAAGGCTGTCACACTTTACTTTCCCATCAGCAATGTAGGAGTGTTCCACTTCTGGACATTTTTATCAACACTTGTTATTGTCTGTCTTTATAATTAAAGACATCATAGTGGATATGAAGTCATAGTTCATTGTTTTTGATTTGCATTTCCCTAATTAATGATGCTAAACACCTTTTCATGTGGTTATGGGCCATTTTTATATCTTCTTTGGAGAAACATCTATTCAGAATTTTTGCCCATTTTTATTTTTTTATTTTTTTTATTTTTAAAAAATATATTTTATTGATTTTTTCACAGAGAGGAAGGGAGAGAGAGAGAGAGAGCTAGAAACATCGATGAGAGAGAAACATTGACCAGCTGTCTCTTGCACACCCCCTACTGGGGATGTGCCCACAACCCAGGTAAATGCCCTTGACTGGAATCGAACCCAGGACCTTTCAGTCCGCAGACCGACACTCTACCGCTGAGCCAAACCGGTTTCGGTAATTTTTGCCCATTTTTAAATGAGATCTTTAGTTTTTTCATTATTGAGTTGTAAAACATCTTTCTATATTCTGGATACCAGTCCATTATCAAATATATTATTTGCAAGTATTTTTTCCCCATTCTGTGCATTGTCTTTTAATTTTTTTAGGTATCAGCTGAAGTACAGATGTTTTTAATTTTAATGAATTCCAATTATCAATTTTTTTTCCATTTATGGAATGTGCTTTTGGTGTCTTATCTAAGAACATTTTACTTAATACCTACAGCCACACAGATTTTCTAGGTGTTCTACAAATTTTATGGTTTAACTCTTACACTTGAGTCTAGAATGGATCTTGAGTTAATTTTTAAATATATTGACATATGGAGTTCCAAATTCATTCTTTTGCATGTGTATATCCAGTTGTTCCAACACCATTTGTTTTAAAAACACTATTCCTTCCCCACTGATTTTATCTTGGCACCCTTGTTGAAAATTGGTTGTCCATGGTAAAGATTTAATTTCTATTATGCATTGTTTATTGCAATAGAAATACAATTGATTTTTACATACAGTTCTTGTATCCTGACACAGTGATGAACTTGTTACTGGTTGTAATAAGTGCTAACGAATTTCTCAGGATTTTATGAATATACTATAGGCCCAGTGCATGAAAATTCATGCACTGGAGGGGGAGTCCCTCAGCCTGGCCTGCCCCCTATCACAGTCCGGGAGCCCTCAGGGTTGGGAGGCAACCCAGTGATCAGGGGAAGGTGATGCCCTCATCACCTCTGCTGCTGCCACTGCCAGCAGTGCAAGTCTCAGATGGCCCTGGGTGGCTGAGCAGCCACCATCCAAGGCTTGCCTGCGCCTTGAGCATTGGCCGGGCAATTGACATCCGAGGGTTGCTTATGCCTTGAGCTGGTCCTGGGCGGCTGGGGGACTGAGGGGATTGGGGGATTCTGGAGGCAGGCATGTGGAATGGATGGACCTGCCTAGGGCGGGGTTGGTTGTGCCAATGCCTGCCATCCTGGAGGGGCTGAGGGGACTGGGTGCCATCATCTTGTGGCAGTGGGCATCACCATCTTTGAGGGTGTGGCAGTCAATTAGCATATTCCCTCCTTATTGGCTGTGGGCACCACCAACTTTGTGAGGGCAAGGTGGTCAATTAGCATACTTTCTCTTTATTAGACAGGATGATTATCATCTGCAAATATAGGTTTACTTCTTTAATTCCTTTTTACTTAACTACCCTGGTTAGAATCGCCAATCCGATATTAAGTAGAAGTGGCAATTATTTTATAGTTACTAAAATTATTTTATTATTTTATAACTAGAGGCCTGATGCACAAAATTCATGCAAGAGTAGGCCTTCTTCCCCCAGCTGCCAGCACCAACGTCCCTCTGGCACCCAGGACCTGGGCTTGCCTCCCAACCCTAACTTCATCCAGGAGGTCGTCTAGAAGGATGTACAGTCTAATTAGCACATTACACTTTTATTATTATAGATTTATTAGGGGCCCAGTGTGTGAAATTGCACGAGACCCAAGACCCAGAGTCCCGCCAAGTCCCTAGAAAGAGTCCTGCAGCAGCCGCTTCCACAGGAGGCAGGACCCAGAAACCCACCCAAACCTCCAGTCAAATCCTCCAGAGTCAAGTCCCCATCCATCCCACGCACACAGCCTCCTGCTGGTCAGTCATTACGGCGTGATGGCGTGACCAACACAGGCCTTTTATATAATAGATCTCTTTGGTGAGGCATTATTGGCATACTCTTCTTAAATACTTCAGCTATGATTTCCTATGTATAATAATAGATTTAAAGTAATGGCTAAGCCCCAAATCCAATTTCCCCCTTAGGGAAATATTTTGTTACCTGTTTTACTTGTATTTATGGCAAAAATTTCTTGATTCTTTACATGTTTCATAATTTTTTTTTTAAATGGAACATTTAACAATTCTGGTATCAGACTCTTTATACCCTCAAGGTTTGTTATATTGCTGATTTTTGTTTGTTTTATTGTTTCTGATTATTTATTGAGTAATGCTCCTGAACTCATTATAAATAGATTCTGTTTTCTACTTTCTTATGGTTGCCCCAGAAATTACAATATACATTTACAACTAACTCAAATACAGTTTCAAATAACATTACGTTAAAGTAACAAAATAAGGCTAATTTTTCCATTCTTGTATCATTGCTGTCATTCATTTCACTTATATATAAGCATTCATTAATATATACATATATATACTAGTATACACACATAAAATATACATATAAACACACAAATTCGAATACATTGTTACTCTCATTCTAAACAAATTAAACAAGGGCAGCCTTTGTTATCTGTAGACCAAATATAAGAAAAAAATAAGTTTTTACTTTACCTTGATTTTTTTTCTACAGGTCAATTAAATACTAGTTTTCTATCCCCCACCCCCCCAACCCCCGAATCTCTAGTGCCTAATAAAGTTCCTGGCATGGAGATACTAAAAAAAGTGTGCGAATGAATGAGCTAATTGTGATGTAATAGCCAACTCAAATTGCTTATGTTATCTTACAACACATAGAATAGTCTTCAAAATTAGTCACTAATGTGTAATGAAAAAAATTTGCGCTACAATATACTTTGAGACCTCCCGCATTTAAATAAAATGAAAATTTAAAAAAAGAGAACTTACCAGCTCTTCTTAGACCTATATGATGAGTTAGCGATATAGATGCTGACCTTTGCTTCGGGGTTGTAGGTGGGTTTGAACTAAAAGGCCCATTTAGGTAGATTCCTTGACTAAAAAGGAAGACAATAGATTAACAATTTTAAAACTGGGAAATTTCCTCATTTCTATTCGTGGTCTTCAATTCAATTAGCAAATAGTGGCTTTGCAGCCCATAAGGTCTCTGTTGCAGATACTCAACTTTGCCCTTGTAGCTTAATAAACAGTAATAAATAAGTATGACTGTGTTTCAATATAATTTTATTTACAAAAATGGGTTACATTGCTGAACCCTAGCATAGAGCAGGTTACCTGTATAACCTGGATTGCTTCTTCTAACACAGATTGCTATTCATACCCCCGGGGATTTCTGCTTCTGCAAACCAGGGTCAGGAATAGATTTTCTTTTAACTTCTTAGAGGAAATGCTAATGGTTTGTTGTTTTTTTTTACACCATTTTCTGTTCTCTTCACAAATATGCTGATTATCCATTAAGTCAATAATTTCTTTTTTTAATTTTTATTAAGGTATTACATATGTGTCCTTATCCTCCCATTCCCTCCTACCCCAACTCCAACCCCCATCATGCCCTCACCCCCTGGTGTCTGTGTCCATTGGTTAGGCCCATGTGCATGCACACAAGTCCTTTGGTTGATCTCTTTCCCTCACCCGTACCAACCCCTACCGTCCCTCTGAGATCTGAGCAACTAATCAATGCTTCTCATTCTCTGGATCTGTTTTTGTTCATCAGTTTATATTGTTCATTATAATCCACAAATGAGTGAGATCATGTGTAAGTCATGTGGTGTGAAGCCTGCTAGGAGGGGAAGGGAGGCTGTGGAGGTAGCTACTGGAATGGCGCTCCCGACAGAAGCCAGGACCCGCTGGCTAGGAGCAGGGACGTGCTGGTTCTGAGCGGAGAGGGGTACTTGCCGGTTCCGAGCGGCCGGCGAATGGGGATGTACTGGCTCCCGGTAGGAGCAGGGGACAATTTATTTATTTATTTATTTATTTATTTATTTATTTATTTATTTATTTATTTATTTATTTATTTAATTTACCTAGACAGCTTTCCAAATAATTTTTCTATGCTCATTCATGGCAAGATTACTTATCTCTTTAACTCTTTTAGTCCATTTAACTTTTCCAAGGAAGTGGTCATCTTTGTCCTGAGGGAATAACAGGGTTTTTGAATCCCAGGCTAGGAATTTGGGTACAATTCTACAGGCATTCGTCCAAAAATGTAATGACTAGAAAACCTATAATCAAAGTTTTGTTTAAGGAAGATTTCTGGTTGAAGGTTAGAAGATGGATTGGGAAGTTAACGATATTAGAAATGGGAAGACCAATTAGGAGGACAATTCAATAGCCCAAGTAAGGAGTAACGAAAGCATGAAAGAGTGTAGGTAAAGTGACACAGGAGAATAGACAATGGGGGGGGGGGGAGGAGATAAGAGTTGATAACTGATACCTGCAGAATAAGAAAACAGGATGCAAACACCGTGTTCTAGGTAAGTCAATTTTGTAAGCAACCACTAGAAGGAAGCATTGTGCCAGGAAATAAGACCAGAATGAGAGTAACAAAAAAATAGCTGGGGGTCTGAGAAATTTGGTTTCAGACATTTTCAGGGAATAAGAGGTTCAATAATGAAACAATGTTGAAAGCCCAGTCAGGGTCATCGCAGATCACAGAGAGGCTATGATCAGAATCCAAAGCTGCATTCAAATCAAGACTCACAAATCTAAGAATGTGATCTCTGCTTTCTTCCGAGCATTCTACTGAAGTCAGGACGGATGTCTCAGATTCCAGAGCCACAAGTCTATTACTTTTGTGCTAAACAAAATATCACCATACTTAAAAAATAATAGCTTTTCTGTTTAAGAAGATTGCTCTAAATGCCTATATGGTAGTTACATATAGCTAGCTCTACATTTTAATTAAATTCACATTTAAATCAAATTGCTCAGTCATACTAGATACATTTCAAGTGATCAATAGCTAGGAACTATCATATTGGTGAGATATAAAATATTCCCATCATCACAAAAATTTATATTGTACAGCACTTAATCTAGAAACTTGAATTTTAAAAGTAGTAATGGCTGTAAATGCTTCCAATCTTCCCATCTTATGTTCAAAGTAAGCTCCAGCTTCTGCACACTAAAAAAAAATTACTTCTAACCTTACCTCTTTAAAGTAGACATTCCATAATATCACCAATTACTTTATTCTCCAAATCCTAAAATCTTTTATGGAAGTTAAGTAAGTAATCAAATCTGCCTACATATACCTTTATGTGAACACTTTTCAGAGTTAAAGATAGTTTTCTTTAGACTGTGTTTCTATTTTAATATCTATCATTCTTTAATTGCAAATGTATTGCTGTTACATCAGTGTGATGAAAAAAAAAAACCCCACAAAAAACAAACAAAAAAACCCAGAATCATTTTCATCATTCTTAAATCCAATATTCTCAAGATGATGTTTCCCATGGATAAGAAATAGCTTTCATATTTTCAGTTTCTAGCATCATTTACGTCCCCATATCCTGATTCCATTGTGGGGGGGGGGGGGGGGGGGGAGCTTGTTCAGACTCTGAGCAAGCTTTGGACCAAAGCTCCTTTTCCTATACTGTATTCAAACCTCAATCCATTCCTGTTTTATATGCCATTTCACACAATATTTTTCAATAAATAAGGAGTCCATCTATTTCAATATATTATAGAAGATTCAAATTAATATATCACAAAATAATCTGGAAAATTATAATTATTTGGTCATATTTCACATGATAATACTAACCAATTTTAACAAATAGCTATGATCCAATTCTGCCACCTGGTGTTTTAAATTTGTAACTACCTAGCTCAAGCGAAAAGTAAAACACATGCTCAGTAAGAATGGTAGTTTAACAGGAAATTTACACTGATACCAATTTTATTAATATGACCAGGTGAGTGACAAAATAGGAGCTTACCTTTCCTGATCACAAGAGATCACTATCTTTCCTGGCTTTTAAGACAAAGCACTGAATCTTTTGTTATCAGTGTAAATGGATATATTTACATCCAGATCTCAGCTCCTGGCATTTTCTGTTTCATAGTTACTGGTGCCTTTCAAAGACCCTTAACATCTGACAACGTGCTCCTCCTCCCACGCCCTATTTGGGTATCATGCATTGGACCTGGTGACTGCTCCTGGAGTGGCCACCTCTACCAGTTTATAAGCTTTCCCAGCACCCTGTACTAACTGGATCCTAACTTCCTTTCAGGTCCCATCTTAAGTTTGGGGATAAAACAGGTTCTTCTTTAAGAATCACTTTCTATTATGTCATACTAGAGGCCTGTTGCACAAAATTCATGCACAGGTTGGGTCCACAGGCCTGGCTGGCGATTAGGGCTAATCGGAGCCAGGCTGATCTTGGCTGGGCCAGAGAGAAGGTGACGGTTGCCAGGCCGGGTGCAGAAGGAACAGACACGGGATGCTGACAATCGCCATCACTGGCACCCTCCCACCATGTGGTTCCCTGGCCTCTTCCCCCACTTCACTTGCCACAGTGCCACCACTGCAGTGGGCAGGTGGCAGGCCGATCAGGGCCTAACGGCCGGGGCAGGAACTGCGGGAGGTTGGCTGTGGAAGCGCACTGACCACCAAGGGGCAGCTCCTGCGTTGAGCATCTGCTCTCAGGTGATCAGTGTGTGTTATAGCAACCAGTCATTCTGGTCATTACGGTTGTTCTGGTCGCTCTGGTTGGTTCTGCTTTTATATATATAGCTTAGGTATGCTGTCCTATACCTAAATAAGTACGTTGACTGTTCTTTCCGCTTTTAGAACTATTTCAAACTTTGTTCACAGAAGCAAAGCGAATGTATTATATCAGATTCAGATTTCTTGAACAGGCTCTGGGGATTTTACCTTGAAATGCCAACTTCCTGAGGAGGCCTTTTGCCATTATTGCGTTCCCACCTTGAAGAAGGAGGTTCAGCAGGGGGCAGACTCGAAGTTCCTGAGCTCCTCCTCAGCTGTGGAGTTGGTAAACTATTCCTACTGAGTAGTCCCTGTTGGACAATTGAACAGTGGTTAAAACCGTCATCCTATAATATCTGTATATGTCTTAAAGATGTCACCTAAAAATCAATACAAAGTATATTTTTAATATGTATTGGGGAAACAGAACATTTTTATTCTGAAAGTATGTCAATTTTACTCCACATTCTATATTCTACCTATCCTTTTAGTACTAAAAAATGATATTTGATCTCCCTACAATTTAACTATATATTTTTCTTTTGCACACTTTATTCCTAGTATCATGAGAAATAAACAGTTGATAATTTAAAAAGTAGATATGAAAGATTTACCTTAAAAAAAACAAAACTTCAGAGGACAAAATTAAGATCAGTGATTGTCCCGAACCTTTCATATTTTCAGTACAGGGCTAGTGTCTATAGAGGTTAATCTGGAGAAACTGCAGGATTCTGAGCTGCTTTTTGAACAAATGACTAAATCCAGAACATCTTTAGCCTTGATACAGTTTTACCTTAGTTTTTGAAAATGTTCTATTTTTTTTTTTTTTTTTACCACTATGAATAGGTGTTTTACTGAGATATACAGAAAAGTTTCTTTCTTAAGAATTTCCTCTATCAGCAGACACTGAAACCATCTCAGAGAGATAAATATCTCTTACAGTTTTCCCAAGGATGTTAATTTAGTAAAGGTTTGTGGTTAGTTAGGTTCATATAATCTGTTTTGTTTCTTAACATAGTATATAAGACATTTATTTAGATTAAAGTATCTATTCCAACTCCCTTTTCCTTACTAGTTATTTTTTCATAATTAATTCTTTTCTAATCTAACATGAGGCTTCTTCTTTTCCAAAAGCAGAGACAAATTAGATATAAAATTCAAACAAGAAGGTTTCAAGAATATAAAAAATAAGGGTTACATCCTGATTTTTTTTTAATTGATTTCAGAGAGGAAGGGACAGAGAGAGAGGGAGAAACAATGAAGAGAATCATTGATTGGCTGCCTCCTGCACACCCTACAATGGGGATCGAACCTGGGACCCATCAGTTCACAGGCTGATGCTCAGTCCATTGAGCCAAACGAGCTAGGGCCAGATTCTTATCTGACTTATTTTTACCAATAGAATCCAGTAACCAAAATAAGCCTGATTAACTAGAATGTTCAAGAAATGAGGCATTTAGACAATATTATTGTTTAAATGCTTCTAAAATGTACCAGTACACTTTTCTACACAGTAAACATGGTAACAATAATGCTATCAATTATGATTTTATAATTAAGATTTTTAAAAAACTTAAAAAAAAATACTAAACATCAAAGTCCATGGGAAATAAAAAGGAAGAGCAACAGATCAAGTGAAAACTAACTCAAGAATATATTAGCTCTTTTACTGATGAATTTGTTGCTATCCCATGATTAACCTCTAAGTATCAACTGGTATAGTTGCGTTTTGACTGTGGCAGGTAATACTGTATATACTTTAAAAAAAATAAAAGCATGACAGACCTGGTTGTGTGGCTCAATTGGTTAGAGCATTGCCCCATGCACTGGAAGGTTGCAGGTTCTATTCCAGATCAGGGCACTTACCTAAGAGTTTCATGTTTGAGCCCCAGGTGGGGTGGGTGCAAGAGGCAACCAATCCATGTATCTCTCTCACGTCACTGTTTCTCTCTCCTTCCCTCTCTAAAAACAAATAAATAAAAGCATCACATAAATACTTATGACCCAGCTCTGAAATCAATAATTATCAAATGTTTGCCCTAATCAGGCTTGGTTAGTTTTCAACATTTCTATACCTTAATACCGAGAACGAAATGAAATTAAATGATGATAAAAATCCCTCCAAAAACTATATTTACTATTATCAATAAACAAAAATAAACAGATTTGAATTTTATCTTCTCTTGGTTAGTTTATTTACCTATAGAATAAAGTAGTTAAATGAAAACAATGTATAAAATGTTTCCATTTTTAGTTTTATGATTTTAGCAATTGGTAAAGATATTGATAGTTAAATAAAACAATTAGCCAGAACAGGTTTGGCTCGGTGGATAGAGCATCGGCCTGCAGACTGAAGAGTCCCAGGTTCGATTCCATTCAAGGGCATGTACCATGGTTGCGGGCACATTTCCAGTATGGGGTGTGCAGGAGGCAGCTGATCGATGTTTCTCACTCATCAATGTTTCTAACTCTCTATCCCTCTTCTTTCCTCTCTGTTAAAAAAATCAATAATAATAAAAAAAAATTAAAAGCACTCTGGACAAGTACAATGTATGCCTTTTTAGAAAATTAAATTTATCCCATTTCTAATGATGGATAAAGCAATGCCTATAGGGCTGTAGCAATTTCTAGTGGATAAATAAGGGGGGGGAGGACTTTAAAAATGTAAAAATCAATTTAAAGTACATAATGCTATATAATGCATAACATTAACATTATAATGATAATTTCTTCTTGGTTTAACAAGAACAATTTCTGGATTCTAAAGAATAAAATAGATTACTGACATGATTACACTACTACTATGTTGTACAAGTCTGGATTGCTTTTTTGCTCTAGTACCTAAAACAACAACAATAACAATAAATAGTTGGTACTGCTGCAGTTATAACGGCTAATTACAGCAAGGTTATTTGGAATAAAAATGGAATACTCGTTTAAAATATTTTGAGATTATTACTACTTTTAAAGACCCAAGGAGCACAATATACTGGAAAAGAAACTGATCCTTAGAAAAGAAATTCTAATTTAGGTAAGATTTTAAAGAGCAGTTTTAATTTGAAAATGTGATAAATGGGGCAGACTGATGACTATGTTTTCACCTTGTGAAGTTTTCGGTCTCCTCTTTCGGCGGGGTCCTCTGTTTCTGAGCAAGGGTAAAATCCAGGGAACGGTGTGAGAGGATTAATCTTTGGTCTGCAGGAACCCAAGAAAGCACCCATCAAGCTGCTGATGCTCCGTAGGGAAGAAATGACTTGAGGGGGGAGGGTTGGATCAATCAGAAGATCTGACACCATATTGCGAGCCTCATTTAGCACAGAAAGATCAACTCCACTTCCACCTCCAGAATTCTAGAGAAGAAAAGAGAAGTAAAATTATATATTTGTTACACAGAAAATTCAACATTGAAGACAAACTTCCTCTAGTTTAAAATCAAGGTCTATCTAATATCTAAATAAGTTAATTCTATTAAATATTAATGTCATTCATTTGGACATTGATATAACATGATATATCAATTGTATAACAAATGGTATAAAATTATCACTTTAAAATTTTTTATGTTTAAGTATGTAGCAGATAACATGAATTTTAATTTTTTCTGTATTTTCCATTAGCTGAGCTATATTTAATAGTATTCTTTATTGACAAGAACTAGCACAAAATTAAATTTGTAATGCATCAAAATCTACAATCAGAGGATTGCATTAATTTATTGATTATTTCCTTTATGTCAAAATTTCTTTTAAACATATATAGCATTTAAACATATAGCATTTCTTTCATTCACCTTTATCACTCTAGCACAGAGACCAAGCTTTGTTGGCAAAGATGACTTTGAAATCTAGACTTAACCCTAACTGTGTGATTTTGAGCAAGTCATTTAACATCTGAACTTTTTAGTTTTTTCACTATAAACAGGATAATAGCATCTACTTTATTAAGAGCTGATGTGAAAATTAAATCTATTAATACATGCAAAGCACATAAAGCAGTGTGTGGTGCATATATTTAAAGTGTAACAAATAATAGTATTACTATCAATATTATGGAAAATGAGATAAGAGCACAGAAAAAATGGTATTACAGTTCAAAGTAAATGGTGATAACTTTGAACTAAATGGTTAACAAATTCCTGGAAATAGCATCAGGCTGGGTCCTAAAAAATGGGTAGAAAATGTATTCTAAAAATAAAGTATTTCATTAATGTATATATGTTTTGTACTTTTTAAAATTCTATATAAATTTTATTCAACTAAATAAACCACAGAAGTATACTAATAATCAGAACAGTGAATTAAATGTTACTTTTGTTTGTTTTACTGTATCTTGAATCTACATTTGAGTGTATTTAGAATTCTTAAGTATTTAAAGTATTTAATGATTTCACCGTGAAACGGTTAAACTATCTTCAACATATTTTATTTATTTTTAAAATATGTTTTTATTGATTTTAAAGAGAGGAAAGGAGAGGGAGAGAGAAACATCAGTGATGACAGAGAATCATTACTCGGCTGCCTTCTGCATGCCTACTGGGGATTGAGCCTGCAACTTCAGCATGTGCCCTTGACTGGAATTGAACCTGGGACCCTTCAGTCCACGGTCTGATGCTCTATCCACTGAGCAAAACCAGCTAGGGCTCCGCACATTTTAGAATGGAAAAAAACCGTTAAGAAAGTGAGACCAGTAATTAGCTAAGTAATGTCTTTGCTCTATGTGGAACTTTTTAATCTTTTTCTTGTGAAGCACTATTTTGTGTTTTTATTTAAAAAATTCCCTGTTATTGGGGCACAGTCCAGCTATTTCTGGTCAATTAAGAGTACTTCTGACAAATGGCTTGTTATAATTTGAATTGACAAGCCAAAGTTAATGAACATGTTAAAATTTGATTATTACTATAAACCTTCCTTCGCATGTTGGTCAAATTATAATATATAAAAACCCAGAGTTTTAAGGGCAACAGCTATTTGGCGTAAGGTGTAAGAAAGCAGTTCAATTTTTTAATGACTGGTTTGGCAGAATAGTGCATATGGCTGGCTATCAGTGTCCAGATATAGGGATTATGTATTTTTTTTTGTCTGCCAAGAGCATCTTCCTCCTGCTGAAAAAGCCCCCCTCCATTTAAGCAATCCTATCCTATAAAATCTATCTATACTAAGAAAAGGATAATATACTAATTAGATCAGGTTGACTGACCATCTTCTGGAGGTACAACTTCCTTCCAGACAAAGCCATAGTGGTGGGGGCTGAGACAGAGAGGATAGTTGGGGCAAAATCAGGCCAGCAGGGCAGAGCCATTGGGCGAGATCAGACCAGCAGGGGAAGGCAATTAGGGTTTATCAGGCAGGCAGGCAGGCAGATGAGGGGTTAGGAGTCAGTGGTCCCAGATTGTAAGAGGGATGTCCAACTGCCGGTTCAAGCCTAAACCGGCAGTCAGACATCCCCCAAAGGGTCCCAAATTAAAAAGGGTGCAGGCTGGGCTGAGGACCACCCCACCCCCATGCACAAATTTTGTTCACAGGGCCAGTAGTCTATAATAATAAAAGCATAACATTGCTAATCAGACCGGACATCTTTCCAGACAAAGTCAGGCTGTGAAGGAAGTCCGGGTCCCGGGTGTCTGCTGATGGCTAGAGGGAAGCTGGTGCCAACAGACAGGGGAAGGAAGACCTACTCTTGCATGAATTTCATGCATCGGGCCTCTATTATATAAAATATTATATATTTTCCACAAATTATACATAATAGCATCAATCTACTTTCCTTACACCCAAATGAGAAATCTGCTATTTGAGTTGGTGTTTTCCTATAAGTAATGTGACATTTCTCTCTGGCTGCTTTCAAAATATTTTATCTTTAGTTTTCAAAAGTTTAATTATGATTTGTCTTGGAGATTTTTTTTTTTTTTTTTTTTTTTTTTTTTAGTGATCCCACTTGGTATTCGCTCAGATTCCTGAATTTGTAGAATTATGTCTTTTGCAAAATCTGGGAAGTTTTCAGTCATTATTTCTTCAAATACTCTTTTAAACTCACTCTTTTTCTCCCCTTCTTTCTAAACACCGATGATCTTTTGTTGTGTCATTCAGGTCTCTAAGGCTCTGTTCATTTTATTTCCATCTATTTCTTCTGTATAATTTAAATTGAGTAAATCCTATTGCTCTATCCTCGAGCTTGCAGATTCTGTCCTCAGTGGTCAAGACTCTAATGCTGATAACATTCAGCAAGTTTTTAATTTCATTTGTTTCTTTCTTATAACTTCTATTCTTATAACTTCTATTTCTTTGCTGAGATTTTTCTATTTTATTTGTTTCAAATGAATTTGTAACTGTTAGAAACAATTTCCTGATGATAATGTCCTTTTCAGGTAATTATAAATCTGTTCATCTTTGTGGTAAGTGCTAATATAGTCTTTTCTCATTCAAGCTGTGATTTTTCTGGGTTTTGGTATATGACAGGTTTTTTGCGTTTTTTTTTTTCTATCAATGATTTGGCTAATAATGCTTCACGTAATGCTAGAAGACCGTATCCTATTTAAATCTTTTATATAAGGAAGCAGACTTGTTTAGATTTCACACAAAGATCTTGGTCTACTTTTTTAGGTTGTGGTTCTAATGACAACTTATTTTTTTTTTTAATGTTTGTATTAATGTTTAGATAGAGAGGAAGGGAAAGGAAGAGAAACATTGATGAGAGAGAACCATTGATCAGCTGCCTCCCGCACAATCAAGCCTGAAATCTGGTCTTGTACCCTAAGAATCAAACCATCAACCTTCTGGTGCATGGGACAATGCTCAATCCACTGAGCCACAATGGCCAGGCTCTAATGTAAATTTAATTTTTAGGGCATTCACAATGTTATTTCAGTCTGCTTTTTTTTTCTGGTGTCACTAGGGTTCCCACTGGCCCCTGCTGGTTCCTCCTCTGTCGGGGAGAGGGAACTTCCTCAGGTTGGGCAACCTGGTACCTTCAGGTGAAGAAAGGAGGACTCCAGGCCACAGGGACAAAGAACACTTTCTGGACTAGGCACTTGTGGCAGTATCCCCTATGCCAGGCCCCCTGGCCACCCCATGTCTCTCACTGGGGAAAGAAATCTCATGCCCAGTAGAGAATGAGAGTACAGTCCCATGCCTCATGACATTTTGATCAACAATAGACCACATCTACCACAAAGGTATACACCATGTAGCCTAGCACACAGTAGGCTGCACACACAGGTTTGTGAAAGTGTACTCTGTGATGTTCACACTTATTGCCAGTGGAGTTCCTGATCAAGTTCCTCTTGCCAAAGCCACCAGATTCACTTGGCATTGTTTGCAGGACTCTCCTTCAATCTTAGGGGAGAAATGAGCCTACTCTCGACACCTTCTGTTGCTCGGTTGAGAGCGAGGGCCTGAGTCACCTTTTGCTTTTGGGTGGGGGTTGTAGGAAACCCTGTAATTATGTTGTTTCTCCATTGCTGTGGTCCTTAACGAGGCCAACCTACTCTTCCCTTTTCTTTTTCAGAGTTTTTTTCATGCATTATTTCCAGAGTTTATAGTTGTTCTTAACAGAGAGAAGCAGAGAGAATTAAATCTGAGGATACGTGCAGATCACATAAGACAGGGTATAATACATATAGGAAAAGTGCAATAAATATTACTACTCTTATTTATGTTATAGGAAGTGATGATATAAAGATACGAATAAAATAGTATTAGAGTTCAAAGGAAATACAGATAACTTTAATAATGAAGAGTTAACAGAAACTATGGGAGAGGTAGCATTTGGTAGGATTTTATTTATAAAAGATTGGGGAAATAATGTTTTACAATGAAATTAAAAAATTATTTTGGGGAGCTCATTTTTCAAGAAGGAGAATGAATAAAGGTAGAAAAGTGGTTTAAAAAAAGGTGGTGAAATAGCAAGGTGCAGAAAACAAAATTATTAAAGTATGGGCTATATTAAAGAGAGAGAGAGAGAGAGGGGGGGGGGGGACGCGCGCGCGAGAGAGAGCGTGAACAGTGGAAAATAAGGTTGGAGAGGCATGTTGGGGCGCTGGCTTCCAGGCAAAGGAATATGGGCAATGAAGAATCATGGGTTTTTAAGCAGGTTGAAGAAAAAGAAGCAAGGAGAGGGAAAAGGAAGTGATGGAGGGCACTGAAATTTTAAGAGTATAAGGCTGCAATTTGTTAAGATCTGACAGAGGGGTGGGGAAAGAGCATTCCAGGCAGAGAGACTACCAAGTGTGAAGACTTGGAGGCAGAAGCCTGCCCAGCTCGTTTGCAAAAACAAGGAGGCCAGTGTAGCTGGAGCTGTAAACGAAGGAGAAAGTGCAGGAAGATGAGGTCAGAGAAGTAAAAGCCAGTAAAGGGACCGTATTGTGCAAGGTCAGAGTATTATGTGCAATGATGTGCACTGATCTTACAGATAAAGTTTTCAAAGAAGCAAACCAGACAGTACATGTGACTGATTCCATTTATGTAAAATTCAAAAACAGGAAAACATTAGGTTTCATAAAGCATATTAAACCTAATATAACTTTTGTAGAACAGAATATACAAACACATTCCAACACAATGGAGAAAGGTTTGTAAATATATGCATCAAAAGTGCTCCATGGTTGGCCTATGTGCCAGTGTCTTTCTTACATAGAAGTTTCTCTCTTCCCTCTCTCCCTTCTACTCTAAAATCAGTGGAAAAAATATCCTCAGGTGAGGGTTAATAAGAACAAAAATTGTTAATATAGTTGTTACCTGATGTTTATGAGTGATTTTTCTTTTTTCCTATACTTCTATTTTCTGTTATGATACAAACATATATTACTTAAACAAGCAAAAATATTTACAGAGTACATACTAATATTAAATGACTGTGTGTGTGTGTGTGTGTGTGTGTGTAATTCACAAGTAAGCAAAACTAACTGCTTGAAGTCAGGAAAGAGATTATCTTTGAGGATATAAGTAAAAACTAGAATGGTACATAAGTGAAGCTTCTGGGATGCTGGCCAGGTGTTCTTTCTTGATATGAGTACTAGTGGAAATTTACCAAAAAGCAAAATGATACTGCTTTCCTGATAAAATATTTTAATAATTGTCTTGCTTTTTCTCACATATGGCCTTTAATCTATTTTTTCCCCATGTGGATCAGTTTCTCACAATCAGAAAAAAATTCTCATCCTTAATATAAAATTATTAGTTTATCCCGAGTAAACTATAAAATGTAACTATATATGCTTGGTTTTTTACCATTTCATTTCCCCCCTACAATTAAAACATTGTTATCTATCTAAATGAAAGTTCTGGCTATTTTAGGTCAAAGTAATGAAAATCTTATGTCATAGCAGTCTTGTTACTGTAACTTTAAATGTTAAAAGTTTCATTATAGCTATCAGTGATAATCACAAATTTACCTGATAATGAGGTTTATACCACTGCTTCAAGTCCCAATCCCAAAGAATCATCTGGAAAGAAAAAAATTCACTTAGTTACAAACCAGAAATAAGCAAATACATGTAAAACAAAATAGAGCATCTCAATTACAGATACTTCAAATACCTTGAAGTTTGAGAGAACTATTGGGAAGGTCAGAATAAAAATCATCTCTAGACAGAATATTTTATTAATTATGCACTCTGTGATTGAGAAACCAAAAGGAAAGTCAGAATAGTCACAAAAATACGGTAAGCTATATCTACGGCCCCAAAAGAAAACATACATAAAAAAATCACAACCAGTCACTAAAAGAGCAAGGAAAAATATAAATAAATCATCATAGCCCAAATGATGGTGGTGCTATTTTCTTATCAATAAGGCACTTCTGTCGAAAGCAGTTTAAAAAGTTTATCTTTGTGGTTAGATTAAGTATAAAGGAATGGAGCACGAAAAGCAACACACAACTCCTTGACATGCAGATAATTAGTGGTTTTCCTGTTTGTCTCTTTATACAATGGTAACTTTTTAGTCCCAGACTAGTTTTTTCCTGCCCCTCTTTTTCTAGCAGACTTTCTGGCTGTTTACCCATCCAATAGTCACTATTCTCAAGGAGATAAAATTGGCTTTAATTTATTAACAAGCTATAACTTACATGTCGTTAATCTTAAATGTTTTCTAAGATTACTTAGTTAATAAATGTCTCTTTTTACTTAAGAAATTTATTATAATTTTCTACATAGTTTTGAACCTTAGTCTTGAAGATAAGCCTAGTTCATGAGTCATAATATCACAGAATTTCCATATACTGAACTATTTGTGTTGTTTCCTGTTCATTGCAAAAGATCTTAAGTGTTGCCGAGACCGGTTTGGCTCAATGGATAGAACGTTGGCTTGGGGACTGAAGGGTCCAGGGTTCAATTCCGGTCAAGGGCATCTATCTTGGTTGCGGGCATATTCCCAGTAGGGGTGTGCAAGAGGCAGCTGATCAATGACTCTCTCTCATCGTTTCTAACTATCTCTCTCCCTTCTTCTCTGTACAAAATCAATAAAATATATTTTTTTAAAAAAGATCTTAGTGTTATCTACTCTATCATTAGTCCAATATTTTATTAGAAGTTGGCAGACTTCTTCTCTGTGAAGGACAGACAGTAAATATTTAAGGCTTTGCAAGCCACATAAGGTCTCTATGGAATATCCTTTTGTTTGTTTTTGTTTTACAACCTCTTAAGATGCAAAAAACATTCTTAGCTTTAGGACCATACAAAACAGGCTGCTAGGAGGATCTGTCAGCATTCTCTAGCTTGCTGACCTCTGTTTTAAATAATACTAGAGGTCTGGTGCACAAATTTGGTATGGGTGGGGTCTCTTGCCCTAGCTGGCAATTGAGGCCGATCAGGCATCTCACCCAGTCCTGATCAGGACCAATGGAGGCTGGCCGACTGGGGAGGGACTGTAGGAGGGCTCCAGGGCCTATCTGGCCTCTCACCCAGCCCTAATCAGCTGGATTTAAGCAGCAAGCTAACCTACCAGTCAGAGCATCTGCCCCCTGGTGGTCAGTGCATGTCATAGTGACTGATCAAGTGGTCAACCAAATGGTCAATCAACCAGACACTTAGCATATTATGCTTTTATTATATAGGGTATCCACCCTCAATCACTCAAATTCATCAGTTGTCATTACCACCATCTCCTTGTCAACACTCTCGAAGAAAAGTCATCCCTTGCCAGTTCATCCATTACCTCCCAAAGAAATGCAGATGTCCTATAACCACTTACAAAATTCAAGGACTAGTATCCAAAAAATGGCTGTGGTCTAGTACTCATTAAATTTATTCACTATTTTATATGGCCCTAACTGTTATTCTGATAAAGTTATTTCAGGTTGTATTTAACCAGCATTCATTCTAGATCTAAAAGTCATCAAGTATGAAAATAACATTTTTGAAGGCATGAGAGGGAAGTAATTTGTCCTAAACTAAGGATGATTACTTCTGAATGAGTAAGAAGTGACAAACTTAGGAGGGATTAGAAAAGTTGTAGAAAGTTTGTGAAAACCTGAGAGGAAATTTTGTGTGGTTACACTGAGTAAGACAAAGAAATCTAATCAAATAAGTGGATTTAAAACATCGAAAGTTAAACTAGTACAACATTAGAGGTTGATTTTTCTCTTTAAAACAACTTGATTTGTTACTGTGAAAAAAAAGTTCTATACTCTGTATTATCCAGGGGAACTGCTTATCTGACTCGGTCCCCGAATGCAGCCCCCTGGGATGCATCTTACAGAACTGAGCCATGTTTGCCTATGAACCAATGAAGGAAAATGCTTTTTCTTTGTAATATGACATGGCCACAGTCTGCTCTAGAGTCAGGAGAACACTTGCCAGAGGCTGGGTCTTTGAACTACATTAGCAACTTGCAACTTGAGTCATTGAGGACAAATGGATGAAATCCCCTATGTACCAGTGTTTATGCTTTTGTATCAGAACAAGCCCATTCAAATGAAATCTAAAGTTATGATTCACCAGGGTGGGAAACCAGGCAAGTCTGAAGAGAATTCCAGGAGAACGAAGGTGACTTATTATTACTCTAGCTTACGGTTCAGTAGCCTTGGCCACTCCACTGCCCTTTGGCAGTGAGGCAGCTGGAGAAAGAGCTCTGACAGGATGAGCAATGGTCTCCTCTCTCACATCCAGCAGAGTACCCAAATTGGTCAGGGGGCCACTCTAGACAGGGAAGTTCTCATTAAAGCAAGTGCCAATTGGAGGAATTGATGCTGAAGTGCATATGCCTGCCTACGGGGATCATCCTAGAAATATGGAAAGTCTCTTTTCCCCCTCATTGCTGATACAACCTGACTTGGGCAGATATTCAACATCTATTGAACACTCTACTTACTGCCAAAGATCGGTGGGTTATCTTAGAAAAGGCAGAGGGGCGGGAAACACTAGTCATCTGCACAATGAGACACCCAAAAACCCTGTGTGAGCTGAGGCCACAGCTGCTGTGCCCCTGCTACTGGACCACACTGGAATATAAACGATGCAGACCAGCGCAAGCTTGGACATGACAGGAACTGCATTCTGTTGGGTTAAGGAAGGGAGTGTCCAAACAAGTAAGTTTTAATCAGGTCCAGCAGCCAAAACAGTGTTCAGACAAAGACCCAGCCAAATTCCTAGAATGTATCTTTGAGGCTTGTCACCAAGATACTGATGTAGACCCAGTGGCCCCTGAAAACTTAAAGGTTGTGAACATGACTGTTTTGGCTCCGAGTGCCCCTGATGTCCAAAGAAAGCTTCAAAAACGATGCTGAAACTGGTTTGGCTCAGTGGATAGAGCATCAGCCTGCGGACTGAAAGGTCCCAGGTTCGATTCCAGTCAAGGGCATGTACTTTGGTTGCAGGCACATCCCCAGTGGGGAGTGTGCAGGAGGCAGCTGATCGATGTTTCTCTCTCATCGATTTTTTTCCTAGCTCTCTATCCCTCTCCTTTCCTCTCTGTAAAAAAATCAATAAAATATATTTTAAAAACAAAAAACAAAAAAACACCTTAAGAGTCCTTTTGAATGTCTCTGACACTGTTGGTGGAGATTGCTCTTAAGTTGTTCAACAGCAGAGACCAGATCTGGGGAAAAGAATGAGATGAAGCAACAGGCTGACTTGCTGGCTGCTGCTCTGACCACCAGAGGGCCTAAGAAGATAAGGAACAAGGTAAAGGCCACTGGGACCAAGGGACCTGCTCCAAAATTGGGCCCCAAACAATGTGCTTACTACAAGCCAGAGGGTCATTGGGAGAGGGGGGAAATGACCAAGTTTAAACAGAGAACAGGACAAAGAGGTAGGAGGAGCATCACAGATAGCCCAGTTATCCCTGAGTGATGGACCCGGGGCCTCTGGTCAACACCAGCCACATGGAACAGTGGGGAAAGAAATTAATGGACTAAAAAGAATTAATGGACTTTAAAAATGTATTTTCAAATTAATTTTAGAGAGGAAGAGAGAGGGAGAGAAATAGAAACATCAATGAAGAGAATCATTTTTTAAATTTCTTTTTAAAAAAAATAGATTTTATTGATTTTTTTACAGAGAGGAAGGGAGAGGGAGAGAGAGTTAGAAACATCAATGAGAGAGAAACATCGATCAGCTGCCTCCTGCACACCCCCTACTGGGGATGTGCCCGCAACCAAAGTACATGCCCTTGACCGGAATCAAACCTGAGACCTTTCAATCCTCAGGCTAAGGCTCTATCCACTGAGCCAAACCAGTATCGGCAAGAGAGAATCATTTTAAGCTGCCTCCTATACACCCCTTACTGGGGATCAGGCCCGCCCGGGAAATTGAACTGTGACCTACAGGTTCATAGGTTGATACTCACCACTGAGCCACACTGGCTGGGCTTAATTAACTTTCTAATTGACACTGGAGCCACATATTTTGTATTAAATACTAGATTAACTAAACTCTCCTCTGGAACAAGGCTTGTGACTGGAATATCACAGTCAGTAAGGAAGCCAATTAGATTGCCAATTGGGAAAAACAAACCTTAACCATAGCTTCTTGTGTTGCTGAAATGCCCAGTGCCACTTTCAGGATGGGACTTACTGGCTAAACTAAAGGCCAAAATAACCTCTGCCCCCGACGGGTTGATATTAAAGTGCCCCTGGAAGAAGCTTGTGTTTTACAGGCAGCAATGCTGGCTTTGGCCAAAGAAAGAACTTCTGACTGAGCTCTCCAATTAATCTTGCAAGAAATAAGTCTGGAAGGATGGGCAAAGGGCAGGCCTGCAGAGGCAAAGATGGCTATCCCAATCCAAATATGATTTTGCACAGGAGCAAATGTCTTTCTATCTAAAACAGGACCTTCTGAAAGAACCAGCTAGTAGAGGAATCCAACCATTAGTAACAGCATTCCTAGAATATCAGCTTATTCAGCCCTGTCATTCACTATATATAATTCTTCCATTTTACCAGTAGAGAAATGAGGTACTGAGGAATACAGATCTATTCAGAACTTGAGGGCCCTCAACCAAATAG